AGCCAATTTTTGTTCCTTTTCCAAAAAAATTTAGCCTCCTCACAGGTCCAGGCTAAATGGTAATATGTTCCGTGTATTGTTTTGCATTTCCAACATTTTGAGGAGGTATTTGATAAGATTTTAGCTAACCTTGTTGGTGCCAGGTGCCATCTGTAAAACATTTTGTACTGGTTTTCCTTGTATGCAACTGATAGTGTCATTTTTAAGTTTGTTCCCCCCCAATTTTTCCCATTTGTCTAATTCAATATTGCAAACCACTCTTAAGCACCTGGAATTCCTTGTTTTTCTTCGAAGACGTGTCGCTTCTCATCCTAGAAGCTTCTTCAGCTCTGCCTGGATGGTGGGGAATGGAAGGATTTATGACTAGCTGTCTGCACGGAATATAAATCCTTCCATTTCCCACTATCCAGTTCTGAGCCGAAGAAGCTTCTTGGGTGAGAAGTGAAACCTCTTTAAAGAAAAAACAAGAAAGTCCAGTTGCCTCCTGAAAAGGCCCCTTTGGGACTTAGATGAGTAGTTCATCTTCCCCTTTGACCCAACTGCTGTTCACACAACTACCCTGACTTCAATCTAGCACAGCAATATAGCATGTTTCTAAGCCTGTGTTTGCTTTGTAAATTTAGATTAAGCTTACGGACGGCAGAGACAAGCCAATAGCCAACAAGACCGTTGAACTTCAAATAACAGGAGTACAGAACAGTTCCTTCTACAAGACTGATGCTGAGGGACGAGCCCACTTCTCCATAGATACTTCCGGCTACACAGAGAGTTCTATTCAAATCAGTGTGAGTATTCTTAGTGATGGGGTTAGCCATACATCACAGCCAAGTTCTTCGCCTGGTCTCTTCTTTGCCAAATAGTATCTGATGTGGAAGGTACTTTTTACTTATAATAAGAGTAGGGGTGGGCTTCAAAATTTTTAGCAAGGGGTTCTTTGCCTGGTTACTGCCTGGGCGTGGCCATGATGGGAATGGCCTAGTCAGACTCCTGCACCACGGTGGAGGGGGGGGGGATTTTTGCCCTCCCCAGGCTCCAGAGGCTTTCTTCGAGCCTCCGGGAGGGTGAAAACAACCTCCCTAGGCTCCGGAGGACGGTTGCAGTGTCTCCTGGTTAGGGGATCCTCTTTTGTGACCTTCTGACAAGCAAAGTTGACGGGAAGCCAGATTCACTTAACAACGGCAGCAAGAAAGATCATGAAATGGGGCAAGACTCACTTAACAACTGTCCGACTTAGCCATAGAAATTTTGACCTGAATTCTGGGCCAGAAATGGGCCCGTTTCTCACCTTCCCGAACTTCCGATAGGCCCATTTTTCACCTTCCCCAAGCCTTTCCGTGCGTCCTTCACTTACCTGCATTTAAAACGGGCCGCGTGGGGACTCCTGGGAGGGGAGGGGTGGGCGGGGCCAGCCAGGAGTGGGATTTGGGGGGGATTCTCCGAACTGCACAGAATCTTAGCTAGAGGTTCTCCCCCAAACCCCTGCGAAACCCCAGCAGCCCACCTCTGAATAAGAGGGGGCGCAATGGCTCTGTGGTTGAAGACTTTGAGCTTGTTAGCTGGAAACCAGGGTTCAAGACCCCCCCCCCCGAGTGCTGAGTGACGGGATGAGCTCCAGTTACTGTCTCTCCAACTCCTGCAAAATGCGAGTAGATAAATAGGTACCATTTTGGTGGAAGGTAACAACATTCCATGCACCTCGATATATAGTCACGTTGGCCACATGAGTATAGAATGAGCATTCAGACAACCCAGGCTCCCTCAGCTGAGAAATGGATGTGAACATCCTGCCCCCCTAGAATTGGACACAGTTGAACAAGGACAATCTTTACCTTTACCTATTTATAACTAAAAAGATAGGTCTCCCACAAGTACAAGGTGAGAAGATTCTTAGAAATGGGAGAAATGTGTTTGAACTATATGTATATAAAGTCAGCCAGCATTAATTGAGTCATCAAGCATTTAAAAGAGCATGCCTAGTAACCGTGACATGTACAATGTAACAGTTCACAACATGAATGAAGGTGATTATACTTGTCCCAGGTTAATAGTTCATAAAGGAAAAAGGTAAAGGTTCCCCTCGCACATATGTGCTAGTGGTTCCTGACTCTAGGGGGCGGTGCTCATCTCCGTTTCAAAGCCAAAGAGCCAGCTCTGTCCGAAGATGTCTCTGTGGTCATGTGGCTGGCATGGCTAAATGCCGAAGGCACACAGAATGCTGTTACCTTCCCACCAGTGGTGGGTTTCAAAAATTGTTCCAACCTACTCTGTGGGTGTGGCCTCCTTTGTGGGAGTGGCTTGCCGCCCATGTGACCAGATGGGAGTGGCTTGCCGCCCATGTGACCGGATATGAAGATGCCGACGACACTTGTCAGAACCACCTTAAATTACCTCACACACAGCACTGGCATTTCTAAGAATATGATGTAAACTTGTTTTTTAAAAGGCATCTTTGGTTTGCGTTAAAACAACTTCAACACACGCAATGTTCTGATTGCACCACAAACGCAGTAGTCATCCTTACCTTTCACAGAGGCACTGAGTTTTATAAATATGAGCATGATAGTGTAGAATAATCATATCCAAGGACCAGTGGTGGGTTTCAAAAATTTTTGGAACCTCTTCTGTAGGTGTGGCCTGCTTTCTGGTCCACTGGTGGAACCTCTTCTAACCGGTTCGGTAGATTTGACGAACCGGTTCTACCAGGTGCGAACTGGTAGGAACCCACCTCAGCTTTCCCACCAAAGTTGGTTCCTATTTTTCTACTTGCATATTTACATGCTTTCAAACTGCTAGGTTGGCAGAAGCTGGAACAAGTAATGGGAGCTCACTCCATTATGCGGCGCTAGGGATTCGAGCCACCAAACTGCCGACCTTTCTGATCGACAAGCTCAGTGTCTTAGCCACTGAGCCACCGTGTCTCTTTGAGCCACCGCAACCCTGTTCTCTGTTACGTCTTCTCATTTCTGGCTTTGTTTATACAGGGAGTCCTTGACTTACAACGGTTCATTTAGTGACCATTCAAAGTTACGACGACACTGAAAAAAAGTGACTTACGGCCATTTTTCGAACCCGCGACCATTCTAGCATCCTCATGGCCATGCGATTTACATTTGGTCATGCTTGAAAACTGACTCACATTTATGACAGTTGCAGTGTCCCAGGGGCGGGATGGGGGTGTTATCACGTGATCCCCTTTTGCGACCTTCTGACAAGGAAAATCAACGGGGAATCCAGATTCACTTAACGACCGCGTTGCTAATTTAACAACTGCAATGATTTCACTTAAGAAATAGGGCAAGAAAAGTCCTAAAATGGGGTAAAACTCACTTAACAAATTTCTCACTTAGCAACGTACATTTTGGGCTCGGTTGTGGGTCGTAGGTTGAGGACTGCCTGCATCTGTCCTTAAGGCTTGGTCTTGTGCAGCTAGAATTAGTCCTTCTGTCTCGTCAACTTTCCTGCTCTTAGTTATTGCCAGATATTGTTATTATCTGATATACTGGCTATTTTTTAATAAATGTATTGGCCATGTGATACTTTGCCTTGCCATATCTCTTTTCTAGTCTTCATCTGGTCTTTCTTGAAGGTCTGGACTCTCCAATACCCAGAGAGCCTTCATGGCATAGCAATAGCAATAGCAATAGCAGTTAGACTTATATACCGCTTCATAGGGCTTTCAGCCCTCTCTAAGCGGTATATAGAGTCAGCATATCGCCCCCAACAATCTGGGTCCTCATTTCACCCACCTCGGAAGGATGGAAGGCTGAGTCAACCCTGAGCCGGTGAGATTAGAACCGCTGAACTGCAGATAACAGTCAGCTGAAGTGGCCTGCCGTACTGCACCCTAACCACTGCGCCACCTCGGCTCATGCTAGCATGCTAGCTTCAGGGCATCGTCTTCACTGTCTTTCAGATATTCTCCCAATGCCCTTTTTTCTTCAACTATCCAGTGTAGATGATGATGACAATTGGTATCCTTCCTCTTCTTTGCCAGGCAATTTATGAAAGAGAAACTCACTGTTATGATTCGAACTGGGTCTCTCCTCAACACCAAACTGCCTTCTCCTCAGCACCACGTTTCTATTCTCCAAGTTCAAGTTACCTCAAAGTTCAACAGCTTCCTAGCAAATTAAGCTGTGGGCAACATGCGGTCGTCCCGGTCCATTACGTTCTCAATTCAGAGATCATAAAGGACAAAGAAGTCGTCTTCCACTACTTGGTAAGTATGAACAAACTGGCCTTTATTTCACTCACAAAGGCCGAAGGAGGAAGAGGGAGGGAGTATCTGAGGAGTAAAGTTCAGCACGGTGGTAGTATGATACAAGAGGGATGTGGGGAAAACACGCTGTGGTGGTTTTTTTTCCATAAAGGTTGATGAATGATGTAGGACAGGAATGGGGAATGATGGGCCTTTTATGACTTTTGGACTTCAACTCCCAGAATTCCTGAGCCATCCACTTCTGGCTCAGGAATTCTGGGAGTTGAAGTCCACAAGTCAGAAAAGGGGCCGTTGTTCCCCACCTCTGATGTAGGGCTTCCAGATCTCAGTTGGAAAACTCCAGATATTGATAAGATGGGGAAAAGAATTACCATATTTTTTGGAGTATAAGACGCTCTGGAGTTTTTGGGGAGGAAAATAAGAAAGAAAAATTCTGCCTACGAGCATCCATGGTATTCATCTGGCTAGCGTCCTGTCAGTGTGTGAGAGAGTTGAGGGCTGTTTGAAACAAACAGTATTTGCTGTGTGAGCAACAAGGAAGGATACAGCAAGGAGCCAGGGCTCTGTATTTTGATCCTGTCCAACTGTAGAGCTCTTGACAATAAATCCTTTTCTCTCCCTCTCTCCCCTCACGAAGGTGATGTCCAGAGGGGATATTGTGAAGTCAGGAACACACCCCTTGAAAGAAAAGCAAAGTAAAGGTAAAAAAAACAAAACATGTCCCCCCCTTCTCTTCCCACTTTCCCTCCACCTATATATATATATATTCTTACTGTCATTTATTCTCTTACATACAATTATAGGTATACATTCACATNGGTCCACTGGTGGAACCTCTTCTAACCGGTTCGGTAGATTTCACAAACCGGTTCTACCGAATAGGTGCGAACTGGTAGGAACCCACCTCTGATTGGCAGACAGGCAGCCACCACAGTCTCTGTAAAAGTGGAAGAGTGGCAATAATAAGAGCCGAAGGATTCTGCACCCAGCGAGGCAAGTTTAAGAAACTCTTTTGAAAAAAGGCTACAACATGACTGGGTCTTCCAAGCCCATGTTTGTCACCTTCAGTTTTTGCCATACAATTGACTTAATAATGAATTTTCATTGGAAATAAGCTTTTAAATGAAAGATTTCAGGCAGGTTAAAATTATTCTCTGCTAGCTCCAGAGAAAGGATGGAACAGACTGAATCAAGTAAAATATGGCTGGAAAGAAGAGGGATTTCCAGCTTCACGGCAAATGGCTTAGTGGTAGGCGTTATGAAGGGAAAACAAGGAGGTGGGTAAACTGTATTTGTTTATATATATAAAACGCCTACTGTTGCTATTATTGTTGTTTGCACTGCTTTGTTTCAGAGACCTAAAAACCATAATCTGAAATGTTTTTGAAAGATTGGATAAAGAAGCTGAGCACCAAAAAAAATAATAATAATAATGAGGGAGCAAAGGAATTTACTTTGTGTAAATAAGCCCTGTCACCACTTTTGGGTTATTTAGCAAATGCAGGAATTGGCAGCCCACACTTTTCAGGGAAATAAAGCGTTCCAGAAATACACAAGTCAAGAAAGAGGTCATTGGTTTTTTGAGTCTTCCCATTTGCACAGCTGCACCCGGCTCACATCCAGAGCCTTTTCCTTTATATCTAAGAGAGCGGTAGGCTTGGGCATAACAACAGAATTAGAATGGCCACCGTTACGTACCCCAAGGGATCTTTATACTTGGCCCAAAATAACCCAAATGCATTTGAAAGCAGGATGAAATTCCACTACAGAGCAATCAAAAGCACAGATGGCAGGATAATGAATGCTTCTGTCAGCAGCAGCTACATCAAACCGTCAGGAATCAAATGCAATAAATCAAGACCATGAGGGAGAGAAGCAAACTGACCTGCCTTGGGGCTGCTGCGATATAGTCATCTCGTCTGTAGTTGGATGTATTTATGCTATGTCGTCCCTTTAAGGGACAAGTGCCTATCAAGTATGCAACGGTGCCCTAAGTCTTCTGTTTCTGACTACTGCGTTTGTGGTGCAATCAGAACATTGCGTGTGTTGAAGTTGTTTTAACGCAAACCAAAGATGCCTTTTAAAAAACAAGTTTACATCATATTCTTATGCACGATTTAAGATTTAAGATTTA